GGAACCAACATTGTGAGAGTATTAGGTATCATCCATTGGTACCGAGAACGAAGAATCATAGCCGTTGTGCTAGTTGAATTAAGAAAGGGAGAAATTTGGCTATGCATCTTCAATCACGTGAGAACCTCTTAGTCAAGCATGTTTGACTTAAGAGTATTATTGGCATCAAGTGTGCTGAAAAATATTTGTGCTGTCATGCGTAACTACTGCCAATTTGTAAGTAGTCGGGGTGCCACACCATTGCACGGTAACCGCCAAAAAACGTGTCTACAAATTTTGCTACATAAGTCTAGCTAGCAACAACAAATTTCAATCATCGGAATCCTGATTTTAATCGCTCTTTTCTTCCCGTATTTTACCATATGATCAAACATAATTTTCTTTGCCAATGACTTCATCAACCAATTATTTTTAAATTTATAAATGTGGAATATTATTTTGGTCGATTATAGAGCTAACATGTGGGTGTACCAATGAGCCATGATTTATAGCCTTTGCAGCACAAACAGGCGATTGCAATGCAAAGATTCGCCGGCATTTATGATCTATGTGCAAACCGGTACCGCCTTGGTCTTTAAAAGGTGCCCCCTTCTTATGTCTCTTCACGTATGTCTTCATAGAGATAGGGCCTAAATATACCACTTCGTGCGTAACATGGAGCTGGTCACCGCCTAGATTGGTTATATAATCTTCAAATTCTACTATGAGATCTTAAAATTAAATACCATGACAGGATTTCCTCTCGTTCTCGGTACATAGGAGTAGGAGGCATGAGGAACTTTGTATAATCAAAGGCAAAGCTCAGAAGTGCAAAACTCTGCCATGATTTATTTTCAATTGTTACGAAAGCTACCAAAAGAACATTGAGATCAACGCCCCTGCTCAGTGGGTTAACAATTTTCCTCCTGTACTGTAAAAGGTCTCATTTTGTGTGGTGCCTATCTCTTCACCCATGCATGTTTGTATGGATCTACAAAATTATCCACAAGAAAAAATGTAGTTCCCTTGCTTCTAAACATGGCTTGAGATGCGTAGATTTTGGCACGAAGTTAGGGTGTGTTGGGTGAACGTGACCTTGGATACTACGGTCAATGTCTTTCATGACACTTTGTTTTCTCTCTCCTGATTTTTAGCTTTATCTTTTCAGCCATAAGTTAGGTGATATATCAGGTGAAAACTCAAATTCGATAAAATTTTGAAAACTTTGAGCCTCACAACCAGATGATGGGTGGGTATTCTTGATGCGAGGTGGGATGCACTCCAGCCATTGTACATTCTTTTGCGGAAAGCCTCCTATCTTCTCCCCGTACTGCAGAGAATAACAATGTCTCATACCTTGAGCTTGGGTTGTAGACAGGGTAGATCAAACCTCTCGAGGAAAATAACATCCCAACACTAGCCAGCGACCATGGAGCGGCGAGACGCCGACACTAACCCTCCTCTGTGTTAATCCCCCTACATGACACCCTCATTAATTCTTCCTAAGCTTTGTCAGGTCGTCACTGCGCCTCCCCGACCCTCTCGTAGCTAGCCCAATGTGGCGACGATCGAGACAACGGCACCGGTTAACCCCACGCATTGCTACTTCCTCGTTGGTTTCATCATGGCGCCATCCCACCTTAGGCTGCACTCAATTGACCATGCACATCTCCTCCCACACGCTCCGTCCCCTTCCATAATCATTCTCTATCAAAATTGGTTCAACTTGATTGCAACGATGAATTTCTAAATCCAAATTGAAAACATCACTAGTTTCTATTTGTAAGCAAATTAAGGAACCAACGTTATCAGAGGATTTGGCATTAGCCATGGGTAGAGAGAACCAAGAATCATAACCGTTGTTCGGGACCAATTCAAAAAGGGACAAATTTAGCTAGTACTAATAAGATGCATCTTCTTTTCTGGAAGCAATCACGTGAGAACTCTCAGTTAAGCATGTTTGATTTAGAGTATTATTGGGCACCAAGTGTGCTGAAAAAGATTTATGTTGTCGTACGTAACTACTACCAATTTGTAAGCAGTTGGGTTGTTACACCATTGCACGAGTCACCGCCAAAAAACGTGTCTACTAATTTTTCAACACAAGTCTAACTAGCAACAACGAATTTCAATCATCAGATTCCTAATTCTAATCGCGCTCTTATTCCAGTATTTTATGGTATGATTGAACATTATTTTCTTTGCCAGCGATTTCATCTGCTAACTCTGTTTTAAGTTTATAAATGTGGAATGTTGTTTTCGTTAACCTGTGGACCTAAATGTGGGTGTACCAATGAGCCATGATTTATAGCCCATGCAACACAAACACGGCGACTGTAATGTAAAGATCCACGGGTATTTATGATCTATATGCATGCTGGTACCGTCTTGGTCTTTAGGAGGTGCCCCTCCTTCTCTGTTGTCTTTTCACATATGTCTTCACAAAGATATGGCCAAGATATACCACTCTCTGTGTAACATAGAACATATCATCATCTAGATTGGTTATATAATCTTCAAAATTCTTGTGTGAGATCGTAAAATTAAATACCCAGGACACGATATCTTCGCATTCTCAGTACATAGGAGTAGGAGGCACTAGGAACTTTGTAAAATTGAGGTCATGGCTCAGAAGTGCATAGTTCTGCCTTGACGGATTTCCAATTGGTATGTAAGCTACCAAAAGAACCTTGAGCTCAATGTCCCTGCACACTGGCTCAATCTTTTTCTCGGTCCGGCTGCTAGTGCCTTTAGGGCCGAGGAGACGAAGTGTAGGAGGTGGGGCACAGACACAACACCATCTCATATCACACATCATATTCTTCACATCCCGCAACTTCACTTTCCGAAGTTTACAACCCTTGAGCTTGTCAGACATGGAGAAGACATGATGTGGAACACCGACGCCTGCACGGCCGTCATATTTTTTAAAACTAGATTTAAAAAGTGTCTTTCGCTTTTCTTTACTTGACTGGGACAATGCCCGATGTGACCGAGTTTGGCTGAGGAATATCGTTGCACTTGACTCGGTTTTGACCTGATGTGCCACAATTTTCAGCACATCATGGTGCAACCATTGTCCCTTAACTCTTAATATCGGGTAGAATTAGTCCCTAACAAGAGCATTCTCGGCCGCATCCAGTTTTGACTTTTTATGACACTGTTTTGATCACATCATCATTGTAAGGTGGAATAGGAACATCTCTCTCTCTCTCTCCACCATCATTTTGTCGCAGCGCCAAAGACGGGCAGGTCGCGATCCACACCAGCATGGTGACCAGGTCATATTAAATTTCTTGTCTCCTCGACCTAGGTGTGAAGCCGGTGGCGCTGACGCCACCGTCTGGGCGCACCGCGCCACTCGGGCCGGCAACCTCGACCCACACGGCACGTCACGACGTGCTGGCAAGAAAAGGAAAGAAAGTCTACATCCAAAGCCGAGCCTCGCTGCTCCAGCCAGATTCCCTTCGGCCACCTGACGCGCGGGCCACGGGCCACACACAAGACAGGAATCCGTCGAGCAAAGTGGGAGCAGCGGCACCACTGCTGCATATGAAACTACTAGGTATATCTTGCCTACTGTGAGATGAAGTAAAACTGGATCCTCATGAATCCATATTGTGCTGGCCATCTGGGGATCGTCTACTGTGAGACGGTACCTTGTGTTTTTCTTACATATCTATACTTTTCTCAATACAGGTTATACATTTTTTTAATACATCTAGAACCATTTTCACATACACGTGAAATACTTTTTAAATACATGTTTTGGACATTTTTTTAATACATGATAAACATTTTTTTAGAAACACATTGTAAGCTTTCTTTAATGGTGCATAACATTTTTCCTAACTATTTTTTTTTACATTTTCTAAATATTTTTCAAAAACGTCATGAACATATTTTGAAACGCATGAACATTTTTGAAAATGTCTCACAAAACATTTTTTTATCAATTACACTAAGATTTTTTTAATTGTCAAACCTTTTTTTAATGCCACCAAGATTTTTTAAAAACTACAACCTTTTCTAAAAGTTGTGTGAACTAATTTTGTACACAGCGTTAACATTTTTGTAATGTGCAGTGAACATTTTCTAAAATTTTAACTAAAACAAGTTTTCAAATATATGTAGTTAGAATATTTAAAAAATACAAACAAAAGAAAAAAGATTAAAAACTGTATAAACACACAGGAAGCTAGTTGGCCGGCACAATAGTAGCGACAGGAGAGGGTGCCCTTACGGTGAGACCACCTTTGGTCTCGCATGAAGCGGGACAAAGCCGTTCCCATTTATTTATGGCAAAATTCCGGGAAGAATTACAAATTTAGTTCGGGCTGTCTACACATGCTCTCTCTTGCTGCCAAACGAGCAATCAGAGATAACCCCTTTTGGGAGGAGGATAACCCCACTCGATCTGCATCTTTACGATGCGCAGAACCCGATTACCGAGCAATTAGAGACGGACCTGACTCGATAGCACTATATTTCTCAAAAAAAAAAAAAACTCTGGACAAGTGACTGACTGATTACGCCTGCACGACTTCTCCCTCTACAAATGAAAGCTTTCATTTTTGCACAGCAGACGTTATCTTTAACTAGAGGATCTTCAAGAGTAGCCCGATAATTTGGTGCCTTAAAATTGATTATAGGTGTGACGCATGGTACATGGGCATCACACACGCAGCACGGGTTCTCGGTTATTTACGCAGAACCTAAAACAACAAACAAACAGACAGACACTGTAATTAAGCATCGACTCTCTGTATGTGTATGTTCTTCATAGGCACTAGCAGCAACGTCTTTTGCCAGCAGCGACCACGCCGGGTTAGTCGCAGCACATCTCGCAGATCCAGCAGCAGCACAGCGCTGCCAGGCTGAAAAACAACACACCAAATTCAGACGCTATATATCAGGCCGGAAATGACAAGCGACAGTTAAGCAAAGTTACAAAGGACCGTGGTAGTGGTATCGATCAATGGAGCAGCTAGCTGGTGGTGGTCGTGGGGCGTACGTACCATCCCTCGATGAATCCCTTCTCGCCCCTGGATTTGGTGCTCCCCCGGTGCGACTTTTTCCCGCCGCCGGCTTGCCGTTTCTCCGCAGCCGCCGACGGGTAGTAGCCTGCACAGTGCACACGCACACCAACGGCACACGCATGAGCAAACAAGCCAACAGCTTGGGGTGCGTGCTTGGCTATCTTTATCTCATCTGAGACGATACCGCAGCTAACTGAACCAGTCAGTTCAGCCTCAGTTTTCAGACATGAGCATGGAGATCAAAACTGGTCGAAATGAACTAACCTGTGTTGTTGCCGTAGCTCCGTCTCTCTAGCTCGCCCTCACTTGCCGTGGCACGAACCAACGAAGAAGAAGGAGGTGGAGAAGAACCCGAGCACAGAGATGACATGGTAGTGTTTTTCCTGGAGCCCGAACTCCACCCGCCGCGCGTACGGCGTCTTTTCCCTCGAGCACGTACTCGAGCTGAACCCACTGGCTACATGGTTTGGCAACCCCCGTGCTTTACATCAGCGATCAGGAGGGGATTTATACCCGAGCTGGCTGCACACGATGCAGCCCACCCGCCCCATTACATGGGCACGATCTGCATGCCCGCCCGCTTCGTGCTAACGACGCGATCAACTCGCGCATGCACGGCCAGCTTCAACAGATTGCGATGACTATCTCCGCTAGTTGCTAACTACTAACAGCAACGCACGCCACTCACGCACGCGCTCGGGCACGCACACACGCACGGCCACGGACCCGGCGCGCCCTAGCTCGCGCCCGACGCGTCCTGCGGTGGCTTATGCCCAACAACCTGGGGGTAGGGGTGGAGCCTGGTTGTTCCTCTCATTCTCCATCAAGTATGTCTTTCGATCGACTGAATCCGTATGTGCGTGTGCGAGGAGAATCGATGCTGTGTCCGGCGATCGACCCCGATCGATGGTTTCTGCTGGATAATGATGGGTTATCTGCTCTTCTTGATGCCCCAAGGTCCGGCCGGGTCCTATATATATACACACCGGCTAGCCGCTGGCCACCCCCCACCGTCGCAACAGGCACACGCGGAGAGCACATGGATAGAGCATAGTACACAAGGTTCTCTCCCCACCTTTCCACACCACGCCACGCGGTTGCGGATTGTCCATTAGCCGGATTCGATTCGGACTGACTCAACAGCACGTGCCTTTACTACCTTGACAAATGGAAAGTGTGCTGCTCGAATCAATGGCCGAGGTCTGTTGAGCAGATACACACACACTAGGCAGTGATCGACATGGTAGGGACATACAGTGATCTAGAAGCTAGCCGGCCATGCACGGGTTGGTGCAAGGGATCGACGGTTCGGGTCGCGCCGTCGCCGACTAGCTGACCGGGGAAATCCAGCTAAAGATCGGATGCAAAGCAACCATATTCTCGGGCGCCACTTTCTGACTGCTGTTTCGGGCTCGTTATTTAAACTTGGAATATGAGACACACTCTCGCAAGTTCAAAAGCCCCAGGACTCGCACTTTTGGACGAACTTAACGGAGACTTTTCAATTTTTCTTCCGTTTTGGAGCAGTCACCTGAAGTCAGTTACATCAAGAGCATCTCTAGCAAATACGCGGAGTGGCTCATGCCGGGATGACTCAAGGTGCTGGCCGCGCGGGTCCTGGCGGTGGCCGCTGAACGTATGGCGGTGAGGGCCGCAGCGAGTATGGAGGTGTCGGTCGCGGCGGCTATGGTGCGGCTCGCGGAGGATTCAATGGTGGACGTGGTGATCATGGTGCAGGACAGGATACTTATGGTGGCTAGGCTACCGGACCGGATGGAATCAGTGGAATGACGGGGGAGGAAGAGGTTTCGGCAGCAACCAGTGGCAGCGGAACTTCAATCCACCTCCCGGCGAGTTCATAGAGGGTGCCACCGGACCGCATTAACGTCAGCGAGGTGGTCGGGGAGGGGATGGACGCAATCCTCCTCCGCGTCGCCCATATGGTCCCAAGGTTAATCCTAAACAGCCGATTGCCAAACCGGCGAAGACTGACGTTGGAGTGGCGAAGACGGCCGCGTCCACTGCTTCTACGTCCACGGTTACTCTACCCGAGGCTGCGGTGGTCGCGGTTAAGGTGTTGGCAGCAGTGGCTATTCCGACCGCGACACCTACTGATGATAGAGATGGGAGGAGTGACAAAGGTAGCGACAAAGCTGATAATGTGAGGGCTAATAAGGCGGCACGTAAGAAAGAGAAAATGAACTGTTATTGTTGTGGTGTGCCAGGCCATTTTGTGACTGACTGCACGGCGGTTATGTGATAATGTCTGAAGTCGGGACACTCATCTGACGGATGTCCGTTGCTTTTGGTACCTATACCTGTGGTGAACATTTACGGTGTCTGTAATACCAAGCTTATGTTCTTTGAGACTCCACACACGATCTCGGCGACTCCTGCGGTGGATAGTTCGAAGTTTGGTGTGGTCAGGGTTACTCAGGGGACACTGACAGAGGAACAGATATGTTATCAGCTCAGACGGCTAGTGTCTGAGTCTTTTCATTGGACTCTCGTTAGGTTGGAGGATCAGGTTTACAGAGTGGAGTTCCCTAGGAGGGAGGATCTTAACCACCTGCTGAAGTGTGGACTCGGTAAGATGCCTGGGAGTAAGTGCATTCTTGAGTTTGATGAGTGCAAAAAACTTGAGCCGAAGGGGATACCGCTAGAAAAGGTTTGGGTCAGACTCTCAAGAGTTCCAGCGACTCTGCTTAATGACTATCTTATTGTTGCGAGTCTTGGCTCGCTGTTAGCTAAAACAGAGAAGGTGGATATGCCATTTACACGCCTGAATGGAGTGGCGAGGCTACTTGTCGATGTTGTGAATGTGAATTATATTCCATACTTTGTACCATGGACTTATGATGGGATGTCTCATGATCTAGATATTGTGGTTGAGGAGGTTCAACATGCAAATAATACTTCTAGGACTACTGGTGTTGATATGACTGATGGTGGAGATGGTAGTGGGGATGGTTGTGGCGACCAGGGGATGGAGGGCAACCCTGACGACCATAGTGGAAAGGACTAATCGGCCAGAAAACCCACACAGTCGACTGAGCCGAGGACTGAGAAGGGGGCGGTGCCCCCCTCCACTCTGGCGGCATCTCTCCGGTTCGGTTCGTTCCAGGCGGTGTCCGCACCGAGCCGTCTTTGGGGTGACCGCATGGAGATGGAGGACTCTGATGATGATCTTCTAGCACAGGTGGTGATGGTGGAGGAGCACCGACAGATGGTGGATGAGGTTTCACCGCAGCTGACGTCGCATCGGCGCGCTGACTTCCCCGTCGAGACGGATGTGTCTATGGCGGTGGTAGCGGCGGAGGGACGATCGGCGGCGACCTCTCGTTCTCCCACAGTGGAGGGTTCTAGGCATCCATCTCGCTCTTCGTCGCCACATCCGACCAGCTCGACACAGGTGGTGTCCAGGTCGGTCAATGATGACAACAGACCAGCGGTGATCAGTGCTTCGGCCGTCATGGGTAATGGTACCACGGTGGATCAGGCTAGGAGGTCCATCCCTCCCACTTCTTCGGACGCGTTCGGGCATATGACAGGCGGTCACAACCCGGATGGAGTCGCTGCGGAGGACATCATCGCTTTTGGAAGTATTCCAGACGCTATGTCCGCTGACAGACGGTTCAGTCACCGGATACAGGGTTAGCCGGACGCGGATGACATACAGATGGGGCGTGCTATGAGAGCCCCCCAAGCATCGAGGCATCGAAGCCCATACAGGTATGTCGGTTAATACAAGTTGTTCCATTATGCACTTTTCTGAACATGAAATTCTTGATAAAGCCAGCAACTTAGGGATATCTCTTGGTAGTAATGGCAAAGGAACTGCTAAATCCATCAATGATCTGTTAGATTTAGAAACGGATAGTGCTCTGGATTTAATTCGAAACTTAGAGGCGGTAAAACCCATGAATTACACTGATATTAAAGATCTAGGAGTAACAACGCTTCAGTGTCTCTGTGAGGATTTAGTCCCCACGGAGGGCTTAGAAGGCGAGGAGGAGGATGTGATTGCCGAGGGGTATATGGCTCCTTTGCAACCAGATGCCTTTGTTTCTACTGACACCGACCCTCATCTCACAGAGGCGATGAAAGATAGACTCAAAAGTACCTGGAAGAGGAAAGTTTATCCCACATCGGCGGTGCGTAGGAGTGCGAGAGTTAAACAAAAGAAAAAAATTCCATGATGAAATACGAAAGAAATATTCTGGAATAGTAGAGGTCTAGGGGACTTGGCTAAAAGAAGATCAAAACTGGTCGAAATGAACTGACCTGGGGGCAGGGGTGGAGCCTAGCTGTTCCTCTCATTCTCCATCACGTATCTATCTATCGATCGACCACCTCCAACGTGTGTGTGTGTTGACACCAGATTTTGGCACGGTCAAGAACTTATTTAAGATGGACTCAAATGGAGAAGTGATCTTCATGAAAGAGTTCTGCATTGTTGATATGAACATCTTTGAAGTTTCGGTCATCGCCGTACGATTTCATCTCGAAGGCCGAAACTATGCTCAAAGTACTAAGATCTTATATTCAGAGTATAGTTTGGCTGATTGAGCCCCCAAGACCACCTCAAATGGAAACATTATCTACACGGATTGTCTTCGTCTCGTCGAAACGATTGATTTTGATATAAAACTCGTTCCAATCCGAGTTCGTATGCAAAAGTTAGAGCCATCGGAATACAGCCCTGTCAGAGGCAAAAACTGGCGCGCCCCACCAGACACCCTGTCTGATGGGTAGCGCGAGCGATTGCCTATTTTGCGCGACCGATTTGACCCTCAAGATGACCTCTGATCAAAAAAAGTTCAACATAAAAGTTGTTCGTCTCGTCGAAACGGTCAAGATTGCTTTTGAGACCGTTTCCATCCGAGATCGTTTACCACCACAAAAAAGACCCGCAAGATGCATCCAGTTTAAACCGAACAGTTTTGGAAAGTTCAGACAAAACCAATCCGAATTTGACTAGGGTTTTGGACGTGAATCCAAGCCTTTTTCTTGCACGGGAAGTCCAGCCGCCACTTATATGGTGACGGCCGATTGAACAACACACAATCGAACAAATCATCTACCACTTTTTATCTTTTATCTTTTCTCCTTAACCCTAGTTCTTCTTCTCCTCGTTCTTCGTCTGTTCTTCTTGTTGCGGGACGGCGAACCTCGAGGCCCTAGGGGCGATCAGGTCGACCTAGGGCAGCCCATAGCCGCCGCGCGCCCTGACGGGGTCCCTCCCGGGCGTGTGGGGTTTCGGGTCTTCAAAAGCACCCGCCGGATTGCCTGCGTACCGCGCTTCCGGACGGGTCTCCTTCGACGTGAGCTGCGGTGTATCACCCTCGGCGTTGGAGGTACACGGTGATG